GATCCCTAATTCCTTTGGATTTTCTATTATACCCCCCTAATGACCTCAAAACCCCCCCTAATTCATTATGGTCTGGCTCCTTTTAAAATTAGTACAGCCCCTTTAAAAATGCTCATGAGGAATTTTTAGGGTCCCGGATTTATTTATTATTAGGGGGGGGGTTTATTAATGTGAGGAAGGGATTATTCCTATATACCCCTATAAATCCCCTATAGGGCCAAGCCTCAACCCCAAAACCCAAAACCGCTAAATTCCCTAATTAATCCCCTAAACCCTAAATCCTAAACCCTAAACCCTACATAATCCCCTATATAACCTAGAGTCCCCCATTCAGCCCCCTTTAAGGAGGTTACAGCTCATAGAATCCCTGACATTTGAGGCCCTCCCGGCGCGGTGGCAACTCGGAGCGCCACAGCGCCGTGGCTCGCATGCGCGAGCGCTGGGAGCCCAAGTGGAGGTTTCCAACCCTAGTTTTTCTTTTTTTTAAATCAGGTTTAGGGTATAGGGTTCAGGGTATAAGGTTTAGGGTAAGGTTTAGAGGAGAGGACTTAGGGTGCAAGGTTTAGGGTTTAGGGTGTAGGGTTAAGCTAAATGGAGCCTACGTTGATGTAGTTGATAATAGGGATTGTAGCGTTTCTGAAGACAAGGGGTTAATTTTGGGATCTCTAAAAGAAGGACTAGAGTATTTTGAGGTCTATATTGGGGTCCCAGTATTTAGATAACCCCCAAATAGTCATGATGGTTGGTGCGGTGGATGGAGGAAATCTTGCGCCACCTTCCATAGGACCCCCCATAATACCACTATATACTGCTGCTGTTGTTCCCTTCTGTTTGGACTGCTCTAGTTTCATATTGCGACGGCTCCTGAGACGATTTTGCTGAGTGTTATGCTGCAGAGGGGATTATAGTTCTGATTGGAGGCCAGGAATGAGTATAAGTTGGTTGACGATATTTGGTGGGCAGGATTCGTGACAAGATCATGCAAGCTGCAAACATGAAAGCGCCAGCAACGTGTAATTAGCTTCAACCGCTAAGTCAACTTAAGTCAGGTTAGTTGCGATAAGCATGTTCGTACCACTGCGCCCCCAAAACAGTGGGGTCAGTTCTTGCTGAGATGTAGGTATTTAACTGATTTCGCACCTGCGCTCAAAACACCTTGCAGTTGCAAGTCCCTTTTGTCCTTGAAGCGCTTTCCGACCGTCGGACTTCAGGGAGTAAGCAAGTCAACTGAGTGTATTTGGGAATGAGCATTCGAGCAGTCTATGGAGTCATCTTCCGTTAGCTTGGGCCCCGAAATGTTGATTGTGGTCATGCGGGTGCCTGCATTGGTACCCGAGTCACACTATCCAGGAATCGTGCCACACGAACTCTGTGAAGCGGTGGGGTGTTCTTATTGTTTTGATCATGCGGGGCTGTTGGTTTTGTTTGGATTTGCCAACGCAATGGTGGCATAGCCGGCTCGAAGACTTCAAGCCGATGCTGAACATGAACTACACCCTGCAATGCATAAGCATGCCATTATTTGTCAGCCGCAGGCCTCAAGCTCATACAACATCATGCTTGTTGTTCTCAAGCACTTTCATTGGTGGGTAACGTCATAGTGAAGACTAAGTATTTTGAGGCGTAAGTCTGGCCGGAACCAGACTGCAGCCGACACAGCTCAACTCAGCGCATGCCCCGATCTGCTGACCTCAGCCTACAGCGTTCTTGGATTACCCTAAGCAACCCCTGTAGAGCGCGGGAGATCCTTGGATGCGTGTGGCCACAGCTGTCGGGATCTTAGCTGCGCTGCTCGGCAAGTACTTCTGTGCGTAATTCTTGAGTTGCTGCTCAGGAATAAAGGTCAGTTATCACGTTATGACCGAATCGACTATCTTGTTCACTTCTCATGGTAGCTTGATTTCAGTTCCTGAAACCAGACAATGCAAAGCAGAAGTAGCAATGATCGCCCTAGTGCGGGTCATGGTCTTAGCAGTGACTCTGAATTGCTCTCATGATAGACCCTTTGATTCCCATCTGCTGGTTCTTCGTAGGGAATAGGTGGATATTATCCCTATATAACCGCTATACAATATGTCCCCATATTCCCTACTAAGAACCAGTGAGCCAAGAGGGGTGCCAAGCGCCTGCAGTAACCAAATAAGACATTTTTTTGACTTTCCAGCTCCAACGGCCGCCAAACTGGGATGCTTGGGCCTGAAACCAATTCAGCATGGAAGTTACTGCGAGGAGGCCCTTGGGATGCCGTGCCTACTTACTTGTCTATCCCCTTACACAAAGCTTCCCAGAAGTCCCTAAGCTCGTGCTGTATTGCGGCGGCTGTCGCGATGACTCCCTCTACTACTTGTGCAGCTGCTTTTGCTCCTATGTTCATTCTTGTTCGTCCAGGCTGTCTACCGCATCACTGGACTGCCAGATGCCGCCGGGCCGGAAGCTGCTTCTGACAAGCCACCCTGCCCAGATGGAACTTGCTCTTCTAGAGTCATAGGCTTGTGTGAATACGATGTAGGTTGCAATGTTAGTTAGGGATCAGAGCCAGCTGGGCTGCCTTTGCTCCCGTCGATGCCTCGTTCCTGGTTGAGGTGATGGCTTGTCGACGGCTGCCCTGCGGGACTGACATCTTCAGCAGTGATGCTTCTTATGGTGAAACGACAACTAGTGACTGTCTTGTAAAGGCAGCAGTAGCCAACATTCGCCATGCGATGCTGTTTGCTGTTTGCACGTCCAGAACTCTTCCAACATTCACTTGAGATCACAGTCTTGCCAGTACCCGAGTTGATGACATCTGCTTGGTTGTGTTCTCGAGGTAGAGCGCTGCTTTGAAAGATATGGGAGCCCATCAGTCTGACCGAAGTCTCTCACTTGGTCCAGAAGTCTCCAGTAGATATGAATTCCATGCCCTTATGGCACCGGAAGGCCTTGTCTACATGCCTGATATCTCCATCTCGTTGTATTTTGCTCTTCGTCGTGCGTTTTTGTTGTCTTTCTGTCTTTCTTGTGCACGGAGTGGCTGAGCAAAACACACAGAAGGGCCTTCTGAGCGTGGAGCCTTGACTAGAATGTGCATCCTGATCTCGCCCAAGCCCAGAGCACACAGGTGTTTGTCATGAGAACCTAATGACATCGCCTGCCTAAGAGCAGTGTCATTGGCCCATACAGCCAAGAAGCAGAACTTGAGGGGAATGCTGACCCCTTAACCCCAAGAGAATCTGCAAGAGATTTGCTTCTCGAGTGACATCTCGGCACAGTCCAAAAGGGAAGCTTAGGGCTCAGGATAATTCCTGTAGATCTTCATCAACTCGTTGTTGATCATAGCCCTGTTTCCTTTTTGACAGCTGTTCGCAGGATGAATTCCGGCGCCTCCTGGGTGATGGACCAGACCCTGGGGCAAGATGGTAGATTCCAAAGATGAGAGGGGAGCCCCGGCATGGTGTGGGAGACCCATCGTCATAGCTCCTATATTCATGTGATGTTCTCAGGTTCTGAAGATAAGATGCATGCCGTGACCGCAAGCGCATGTCATGCTTGAAATTGCCGAAGTTGACGTGATTTGGAGCCCTAGGAAGCCAAAACAGTCTGGTACATCCCCACCGCGCCGCTACGTGATGGAATGGGTGGCTTCGCCGCAGAAGCATCATGTGAAATTAGGGGCAGCTGCTTCAGCCTGAAGGAGAGAGGTTTGTCGGACAGGCAGGTGGACAGGCAGAGAGGGAGAGAGAGAGAGCAACGCCGGGCCTCCCCAGTCGGACCACCTAAAGGGAGAGAGAGAGAGCCATGCATAGGAGAAGAGAGCGAAGGAGTTTGGATGAAGAAGAAGCCTCCTTGTGCTCAGGTCCAAGCCAAATTGAATGAGTGCAAGTGTCTGTAGGCGCATTGAAGTGATGTGCAGCCTGAATCTCGTCAGTGTTCGTAGACTTGGTATATTCGCTGTGCCAAATGATTTGCCGAGGCATGGGAATGGTTCGGTCCCAAGTAGCCATGTTGAAAAGCCGCCTGGTTGCAAAGGGGACTTGTGCCGCAGATGCAGAGACTGTGTGCCGGGGCCAGCATGATCTACATGCATAAGTAGGAGTAGCTTAGTTGTAAGGCTGCTGCTATCACTTCGGGGTTTTTGCAGACGTCAGGAAGCAAACATGGATCATTACGCGTTGATCAGCAGCACATGACTGATTTGGCTCGCCGCTGCCATTGCAAAGTCCTGCGTGCCGCCTATCCTCAGGCTGTTGTCGCGGTAGCCAAACGCAATGACGCATACATGCACTGCACAACATACTGACGCTTGAAGAGTTAGCTTCTGCAGTGGTACCTGTGCTCTGGAGAGGCATACAGCTAAACAGGAGCGAGGCAAATCAAGCCGAGACCTTGCATCCCAGCGGCGCCATGCAAAACATCATGGCACCAGCCATGGCCACCTCCCAGCGGGCAAGTGTGGCGCAAATCCAGGGCAGCCCGGCTTGAGACAGGATCAGGTGACCCCAAGGGATGCTGAGAATGCTACATGCCCTTTTCTACGTAACGAACAGGGATCCACCTCCAAAATCTGCGACGTCAAATCTTGTTTTGCACACGCCCCTTTGGCCCTTCAACCCCATCAGAATCCTGGGCAAGAACGCCTGAGCCCCCTGGCATCAAGGCGACAAGAAGGACTTCGTTGACACCACGCTAAAGGAGTTGCAGAGCCTCCGACGAGGTCCACATCTCGGCATACTGTGACCGTCAACTTGTCAGATCTGTTGCTGCCAGAGACTTCAAATGCTAAAGCGCCAAAGCTTCGATGTATAAGTTACAGTGCTGGACTGGGGCCAAAGCCTTGGTCAACATTTCAACCCCTCGGAGGTACCGCCACAAAAAAGAAACATCATGCAAAGCCTCTTCTTGTTGTCTTATGCAAAAACTTTTGCTTCTTTGGGCAGATGACTTTGACTGATGCATGGCACTCATTCAGCCGTTTGATCGTCATTGAGGTTTTCATCTTTAGCAGGGTCATCCTACCCTGCAATTATGATCACTGTGCTTCCTATGTCCTGTGATTCGAACCAGGCATCTCAATTGTGAAGTGCTGGCTCTGATTAACTTCTTGGGACTTGTTTCTGGAACCGTTGAATGTTCCGCATTGAGGATTTGTGGACAAGAAGCCCTGGCTGGACGAATCTCGGCATGCTGCCAGTAGAGTGGCCAACATCCAATTTTGACTGTGCCGTTGGAACGCTGAGCCAGTTGCTAAAACAGACATGTCTGGGAGAATTGGTAAGCAAAAGGCCTTCTGTGGCCTGATGCCTCCAGACAATTATTCTAGATTCGTCGTGGCGTTTGAGCAGACTTTGCCCCCTTCTATTGGACGAGGATTCGGGTCACGTTATCTGGTCACAGGCCAGGATTCGAACGGCAGAGTTCCTGGCTGCAAGTATCAGTTCTAACAACAGTGAGCTAAAATCTAA